AGAGAGAGAGAGAGAGAGAGAGAGAGAGAGAGAGAGAGAGAGAGAGAGAGAGAGAGAGGGTGATGGCTGGCAGAGTAGTAGTGGAACTACAGCTTTCTTCTTCTTAGACCCTGCTGAGGTACACGTAATGGATAACCGTGGGCATCCATCTCGCCCTCCTCCTCAGTCACAGCCACCATGTCAGGAGGGTCTCTAGTTGTTGACTCCATGTCCTCAGAGCTGGTTTCACTTATCTGTGAGGCCGCGGCAGAGACAAATTGCTCGCTGTGACCCCCTTTCGTACGTTCGAGGAGGGCACTCTGGTCATGTTGTTCGCTCTCTGTGTACATTCTATCCATCTGTTCCTCCGCTTGGCCTGGTTCTTTGGGTTCTCGTTTCCTGTCATCACGATGTACATGACCCTCGTCCTCATACCCATGGTACAGTTGCTCCTCTTCCACATGTGCATCACTGGGATTATCGTTATCAGAGGTCAGCCCCTTCCCCTTCTCCACCGTTGAGCGGTTTGACGGTGTTCCGATAGAGTAAGGATCACCACAGGAAATACTTCCTTCACTCCTGCTGCTTGTGATTGCACCAGAATCATCACTCGCTCCTCTTTCGGCAACGTCCACAGCGTTTCCCAGTGATGAACGACCCACGTCATCTGTCGGATGATCGTGTTGCTCATGATGTACAGCCTGTTCGGTCTCCTCGCTCGCCTCGGAGAAGCCATCTTGTGTGGCGACCCTGCCCTCACCAGCAGTCGATGACTGTTCATTCCTCAAGGAGGAGGAGCCGCCTTTTATCTTTACCCATCTTTCACCTTTGAGAGCAACCTCTTCCTCCTCATCCTCTTCTTCGTCTTCATCACCTTCCTCCTCCTCCTCCTCCTCCTCTCTCTCCTCCTCCTCTCCTCCTGCACCCTCGTCCTCCCTTCCCTCTCCTCCTCCTGCGCCCTCGTCCTCCCGTCCCTCGCTTTGCCTGATCTCCAATCTGCCATCCATCCTTGTTGCCTCTTGACATGGCAGGTTTCCTTCCCTGCTACCCATGTCATTAAGGAGTCGCTGCTCGAACAGCATCTTTGCTAGCTCATCGTCGTACTCAAACTCCGACTCAGAACTGCTGTTGTCGTCTTCCACGTCCTCTGCCCGCATCTCCTCGTTATCGTCCAGGCTTACCCTCTGCAGAACAAAATTGCATGTGAAACCACCAATCGAGCGAAACACACGATGCAACATGAAAATAGGAGAATACAAGTTATGCAAATGACCCGACTCAGATTCAACCCCGCTCGCAAGCATACCGATGTTCATGCAGAACTGTTAGTGAGCCTCACATTCTTTTGTAGAGTCTGGCCGGGGGTCGGGTCGACAAGCTCTGGATGCTCGACCTCTGTCCCGGTAGCTGCGCCCAGGGCCCTTCTGGAATGTGCCTAGGGCTCAATTGTAAAAGTGCCCTGGACCTCAGCATCTCTGCTGGGCCCCAGCATCTTCAACCGACCGGGCCTACCGGTTGGTTGAAAATGTTGCTTGCAGCAACCAACCCACGGGGCACCCTTCTGCTCACATTGCCGATGGAAAGGCTTCGTTGATTTCCCTTCAGGCCCGCCTTCACTTAGGGCGGGCGCAGAGCATTTACCACCAGTGGGTGCAGGCCCTTTCTTTCTTCGCCAAGCGCCCTTATGCTTCGCAATAGCTTTTTTCGGTTTTTTTGGGGGAGGAGGGCAGGGACTTTGCTTGGCCCTTGGCCAGCTGGGCCCGCCCGGGCAACCAAGGTGGCTCAGGCGGTCCGGTCGGTAGCCCCCAACCAAGTCATGCAGGCGTTATCGCAATCGATATCGCTCGGATGCCTCTGTCACACAACAACCAGCACGCCTATTCAGGTTTGATAGTGGCTTTGCAGGCTGAGTGTCACGCCCATGCCCGACTACCATGCTCGAGTACCAAGACTGGGTATCATGCCTCTGAGAACCATCCTCCCAACTAGCCACGCCACGAGTACCAGATCTCCGTACGGGGCCAGAGTACCAGCCTTGGGACAAAACCAGATGGTTGGCGCTTCGTTTCCAGGTCAACGCAGAGTAGAGAGTAATGCAGGAGGCTCAAGTTTGAGGTTTTCCTTGCACTCCTGGCTATTCAAAAGACTTCAAGAATCTTTGCGATTTTTACTGTGCCCATGAGAAAAGAGTGTAGATGAAGGGGCGTGCTCTCCACGACACAACACGACATGCACTTGGATGCTTTCTGGACCAGGTGCTTTTGGACAAGTCCAACATTTTTGAAGTTATCGGGTACAGAGAGCGGTCCAAAGGCACGTCGAGTGTGTCGTTTTAGTGGAGCGAGGCCTGAAGAGTGGGCCATGTGAAGCGGCAGAAAGGCACAAGTCGACAAGATATGATGCATGTCAGACTGGGCCTGACTGGCTGACTTGCTCACTACCTATACCTTCAACAAACAGTCAAACCCGCTCACGATTGCACTGGCACAGAGCACAGAGCATTGTTTCTCCAAGGACAGCCTCAACCAGATATGCATTTCACTAATCTCTGTCCTTTACCATTACGGCGATGATTACGCTAACCACCATCCTCAGCATATCACTAACCTCTGTTTAGTTTCTGGCTGGTTGAAAAGCGTCGGTCTCAGTGCAAGGGCTGAGTGAAAATAGTGGAATGTTGTGGGCGGAGTTGAGACACCCTTCCCAGCGTCATGATCAAACAGCAACAGATCTTCCTGCCTTCAACCCATTTCCATACCTCCAGAGTCCATACCCTATCTATCGCTTATCACTATCAGCAGCAGTAAGATCTTTCCTCCCTCCCTCCCTCCCTCCATTCTTCCTTCCCTGCCTTGCCTCCCATGCTGTCCCATCTTCACCTCTCTCTCCCACACTTCCTTCCCTGCCTTGTGTCCGTCCCTTCCCTCCCTCCCTCCCTCCCTCCCTCCCTCCCTCTCTCCCTTGCCTCCATTCCTTCCTGTCTTACATCCATTCCCTCCCCTCCTTCTCTGTCTTGCCTCCTTTCCCTCCCTCCCTCCCTCTCTGTTCTCTTCCCCTCTTTCCCTCCCCCTTTCCTTTTCTCCCATTCCCTCCCTCCTCTACCTTTACCCTGACCTCTTCTTACCCTCTCCTCCCCCTCCTCTCCTTATCTCTTGCTCTGCTGCTCTCTTCTTTCTTCTCTTCACTTCTCTCCATTCGCCCTCCTCCCCTCTCCCTTTCCCTCCTCATCTCTCTCCCTTCCCCTCCTCATCTCTCTCCCTTCCCCTCCTCATCTCTCTCTCTCTCTCTCCTGTCTCTTATACACATCTAGATGTGTATAAGAGACAGTTATTATACTGTCCATGTTCTTGAGCTTTACCTGCCTTCTGGTAGCCTAGTGGGAGAGGGGTTCAAGTGCAGGGCTACCACGTTTGTTGCTGCTAAAAAAATTGGCAACAGCACAGCAAATATGGGACACACCCCTCACCCCACCAAACAACCGGGGCCCCTGTGCAAGTTGCTGCTTTTGTGTGCTCTGTGTGAGCATGTTCACGTGTACCCGTGTGTGTGTGTGTGTGTGTGAATGCTGTCTGTGAGTGTATGAATGTGTATGTGGTTAAGTGTGTGTATCTACGCAGCACACCCGCCCACCGCCCACCCACACACACACANTTCCTCTGCTCCTCTCATCTCCATTCTTTTCCTTCTCTCCGCCACCATCCCTTTCTCCTCTCCTTTCCGTTTGCGTCCCTCCCATCCACTCCCCCAACCTGTCCATTCCCTCCCGTGCTCTACCTTCCTCCTCTCCTCTCTCTTTGCTTCTCTTTTTCGTCTTCTCTCTCTCCCCTCCTGTCCCCCCACCTTCAGTTCATCCTCTCCTGCCCCTTCCTCTGCTCCTGTTCTCTTTCTTTTCGTCCTTCTCTCCATTGCCTTCCCTTGCTCCTCTCCTCTCCCTTTGTTTCCCTTCATCTTCTCCTCTCCTTTTGCTTCTCTTCCTCCTCCCCTCTCCCTCCCTCCTCTCCTGTCCGTTCCTCTGCTCCTCTCCTATCCCTTCTCGTCCGTCTCTCCAGTACCATTCCTTCCTCCACTAGTCTCCCTTTGCTTCGGTTCCTCCTCTGCTCTCCCTCCCACCATCCTCTCCCCCTACCTCTCCCTCCCACCATCCTCTACCCCTACCTCTCCCTCCCACCATCCTCTCCCCCTACCTCTCCCTTTCATCCCCTTTTCTCTCCGTTGCCTTCCCTTTCTCATCTGCTCTCCCTCCCCTCCTCTCCCCCAATCTTTCCCTTCCCTTCGCCCACTCCTCTCCCTTCCCTTCCCTCTCTTCTCTACCTTCCCTTCTTTTCCGTTCCTCTGCTCTCTCCCGCCCTCCCCTTCCCTCCAAACTCCCAAGCTGCCATCTGATAAAAGGTCCTACTGGTTGGCTCCCGTCCACCCGCTGGTAGATTTTAACAGTTGGACGTTAGCAGCTGCCTGCAATCATCATCGAATTCGCGGTTGGAAGTTCAGCTAATCATATGTCTGTTTAATGACCTGCAAAAAAAAATCACACACTGATAACTCTGCTGTTTTCTGAGTTTTGCCGCCTGATCGAGTGACTTGCTGAGCTTCCCGTGTTCTGCTGAGATTGCTGAGCACGTGTGTTTTGGATTTTCACCACAACAGCCCCTGCCTAATCCACCCAGATGAGTGGAACCAATATTGAAGCAGCTTTAGTCCTATTGCAGAAAATGAAGCACACTTGAAGCAGCTTTAGTCCTATTGCAGACAACGAAGCACACTTGAGTTGAAACATTCCAACAAACACCATCCAACAGTTTTACCTCTATAGCAAGTAAGCTGAAGATAGACATGGTGCGCTGTTGGGAGGGAGGGGCATGGCCCAACATGGCAAGAGGATGGCATGCAGGCAGGATCTCGATGGAAGGGCCTATAGCAAGTACCATGAAGCACAATAAATCTGTCGAGATCTTTTCGTCAACTATGTTACTTTGGTGTTCTCAGGGTTACCCCTTTCGTTTCGTTTGTTCTTGCAGTTCCCCTTTTACTATGCCTCTCACGTACAAGGCTGGCCACGTTGATTGTGGTTCAACGCCCGCTGGCCACACACACGTGTGCCTTAACGACACGCTTGAATGTCATAAAAGGAGCGAGAGTAAAGGGGGAGGTATACTCCTGTTCATTTTTCTTCAGATCTTCAGCTTATATATTTCGTATGTTCTCTAAATGATGCTCGTTTGTGTTATCGTTTACTAGTAGTACACAAGGGGAGGGGTAGGAAGGAGGGGTAGGCGGCGGAGTTCTATAGGGAGTGAGGGGCAGGGGAAGGGGAGAAGGGGTAGGGGAGAAAGTGGAGCGGCACAACACAGAACATAGATATAGTAAACTTCACTTGGTTCTGAATACGCACCGCTGGAGAAGTCTACTCTAGACTGGCACAACCAGTGCGGCGAAATGATCCTCGTCATTTGCGGGTGTTCGGACTGGAGGCACATTGCTGGAGCGCCCAACTGAGCAGCGTTGGGCGAGGAAGAGGCGGGCTTGGCTCTCTACCTCAGCTATGGTGAAGAGGAGGAGGAGGAGGAGGAAGACAGTGAGCAAGGGGGAGAGTGACAGGGGAGCTTCCTGGCTATGGTGGTCTGCATCTTCATCTTCTTGGTTGGCGCCGCACCTGTGAGGCCCGCCTACAAGGAAGACTCCAGGGGTAGTGATAGGCATGGAAGCCATAGTAGAAGGGACATCGTAGTTTTGTGTTGTCCTTTGAACATCAGAGCTTCACTCTGGTAGTCCGCCATAGCCACTTGACAACCAACTAGGAAAAGGACGTATGGCATGGCTATGGTGGACCTCTTGAGTGGCTGGCAGTAAGGGGAGGATTCCGACATTGATTCTGGTTTAACCTTTCATTCTCATTATTATTACTATTACTGTTACAAGTGGACCGGCCGCAGCCACGCTGCAGGAGAGGGACAAACAGGGGGGCGGGACTGTTGTTGTCACACTGCTTGGGCATCTTTTTTTTTCTTTTTTTTTTGTGTCGTCATGGCCAGCCGCAGGGTTGGAGACTTACCTGTTCACCGGTGCATCTCTCTCTCTCTCTCTCTCTCTCTCTCTCTCTCTCTCTCTCACACACACACACACACACACACACACACACACACACACACACACACACACACACACACACACACACGTGAAACAGTGTATATTTCCATGTCCTAGCCGAAGATTCATTCGATTTTGCTCATCCTATCGATGGAAGTAGCGTGAGCCTTGAGGCCAGCCGCGGGGTTGGCAACTCACCTGTTGGCCGGTGCCATCCTATCGATGGAAAACTCTCTCTCTCTCTCTCTCTCTCTCTCTCTCTCTCTCTCTCTCTCTCTCTCTCTCTCACCATGCTACCTATGCATTTGTAGCCCCGACTACCTCACTTGTGTGCCCCGCACTTTCCCCCGCGCCTCTTTTCCGAGGACACGCGTGCACGTTTTCCTACGGGCCCCGCGTCGCTTCGCCTCCACACACATGACGGCGGACCCCGACCACGATTCCGCGAAGCGACACGGGGCTGGCCTCTGGTTCCGCCCATCCCACTGCTTTTCGTGTGGAGTGACACGGGACTAGCCTCCGGTTCCTATCCCACGGTTTTTCATGGGCCCACGGCTGCGTCTGTCGGTGGGACCGTTGCAACTACTCTATATAGAGATAGAGAAGAAGTTGGGGGATTATTGGAGGTTGAAGAAGGTGGCAAAGTCAAGGGGATTTGACGTTGGTACTTGCTGGTGTGTATCTTCTTCTTCTTCTTCTTATATTGTCTATTTCTCTTTCCAAGTTCTTCCATTTCAGTTGCAATTGGACGTCATTGTCTTTCTTTAAGGTGTTGCACTGCAAGATAGCCAGGATCATAACATGTAGCAGGAGAGAGAAGGTATGCTAACGATCATCCATCCTAATGGCTTTCCCGTGACGAAGATCCGGAGCCTACGTGTACTGCCGCGTACACATTTCCACCCTACCAGGAGTTCAAAGATCTGAAAGAAACAACTCGCTGTAGGGTCAGACGAGTGTGTGTACCTGCATGTGGCTGTCACATCGCTACCCAACCAGGAGCTCAAAAATCTGAAAGTAACGACTTGCTGTAAGATCAGGCGATCGTGTGTCCACCCTCCCACCTGGCTGTTTACTGAATCCTTCTACCGTCTTCCCCCGAATAGAATGTAGGGCTAGATGCAGTGATAACGACCATGCGTTCCATTGGGGCGAAGACGGTACACTCTCTGGATGCTGATCAATCCATCATAATAGCTGCGGACCCTGTTAAACACAACAAAGTCAAAGGGGGGTGTCATCATCCCCCTGTTCGGAGGAGGCCAGAAGTGTGGGAGCGGCATAAGCTGCTTGCAAAATATGCAACACCTACCTCGTATGTGCTGGGGGTTGCTGATGGCCTTGGTCGATGCTCTGAAACTGGAACTGCATGAGCAGTGGGAGGTGAAGGTTCTTGCTTGTCTGCCCGTTTTGACCAAATCTTTGGAATAAGTGCCCATCGACAACAGCGAAGCAGCACAATGATCTCAACAAAAAGGAGTCCAAATGCTCCCCACACAAAACTGGTTAACCTGCCACACAACGTAAACAGAAAGCGCACAACATAGGGTAGGGAGAACATCATGAACACGAGCTCATGTAAGGCTTACAACCAGATATCTCCAAATAGAATGTGGATCCAACAGTTGTGTCACACACACACACACACACACACAACCATTTTTATGCATGTTTTCTACAGTTGTGTCACACACACACACACACACACACACACACACACACACACACACACACACAATCATTTTTATGCATGTTTTCTTTCTTCCTTGTATTTTCTCTTACTTTTTGTGTCCGTAGCTGAGCACCTTCAAGCAGTGCCAAATAGTCGGACATTTCTCGTTTAGAGTGCCTGCAGCACTCTTAGGGGGGGCAGCTCGGTTTGGGATGTCTGTGTAATGACCGTGGAAAATCACAGACTGAGAACTCTGCTGATTTCTGAGTTTTGCCGGTGGAATGTGTGCCTTGCTGAGATTCCCGCTTTCCGCTGAGACGTCTGAGTCTATGTGTCTGTGTGCTTGCTGGTTCCCGTGTGCCGGTCTTGAGTGCATGACTGCTTGAGTGTGTGTGTGTGTGTGACCCGCCAGGGTAGTTGTATGTTTGGACGGTGCTCGGGCCGGTGCTGACCTGTGGCCGTGACTTTTGAGGGTTGCAGGAGGGAACACACTCGAGTAGCGGTAGGCTAGCAGCCGTAGGGTAGGCCAGCTTAGCTTAGGATGCACTCGAGTACCCGTAGGCCGACAGAAGAAGACAAAAAGTTAGTACCTTTAGACGCCAAGTGAATTTAGAAGTCCGGTAGGCCTAGGTCTAGGTGGGTACCCGTCCAGTAGTCTGAGTCTACAGCCTGTAGCGGGCTATATCACACCTGCAATGATGTTTCTCTCCGGAAGGAGGATGGTGCCGGTTTTGCTTGGGAGGCTGAACGGCCTGGGAAGTCACCGCCCAAGCAGCAAGCCACTCGGTATATCCCGACGGAAAACAAGTTTGGGCGTCATGGTGCTGGAGCGCTGGAAGGATGAGTGCTTGTGTTGACAGCGCTGGGAGAGAGGAGCGCCCGGCCCTCCACCTTTGGGTATGGTGGAGCGGACCAGGTAGGAGGAGGAAGAAGGGACTTGGAGGAGAGTGGCGGTACTTACCTGGCTATGGTGGACGGCATCTTCATCTCCTTGGTTGACGCTGCACCTGGAAGGCGCCACTGGGGGTGCGGTGCTACAAGACGGCTTCAGGGCAGAGTTAGGCATGGTGGTCTGAGTAGTAGGGCACACATCTCCTTTTGCGTTGTCCTCTGAACATCAGGGCTGGGCCCCAACTAGTCCTCCATAGCCACCACCATTCGGAGGTGGTAGAAGGAGTAGGTCGTGGCTATGGTGGACCTCGTTGGTGCTGGCAGTAAGGAGGAGATTCGGACATTGGTTCTGGTTCAGTAATCATAGTTATTATTATTATTCATTGAAAGACGAAGATGGGGGAGGCACGGAGGATGCAGTGAGTTGGCGGGTGAAGGGTGATTTGTCATTGCTCTTTGGTGGTGCACATCTTCTTCTTCTTTTTCTTATTTTTTGTTCTTCCTTTGTCTATTTCGCTTTCCTAGTTCTTTCATTTATTTGCAATTGAACGACATTGTCTTTCCCTGTGTTATTCCACATAGCAATAGCCAGGATCATAACATCTGTGTCTCCTGCGCATGATGACAGATGTTCGTCTAAGTGATTCCCTGGCTCAAGGGGTGGTGGAAACCAACAGTCTGCGGGGTTCACTCATGATGTGAGTAGGTGATGTGCCGCTTTGCTACGTGTTGGATGTGTAGACTACCTTGTCTGCGCTCCGCCACTGCCTTGCTAACCGTCCAGCGTGCTTCACATGTCGTCCTATGCAGTTGAGCTGCTCCAGCAGCATTGCCTGGTGCTTTGCTGAGTTGTTGCTCACTGCTATGTTCAGGTTGCATGCCTCGCTGCCCATCCGCATGCTGTACCTTCCATGTCCTGCAATCGTCTTTGGCGATATGCAGTTGAGCAGCTCCAGCATTGCCTGGTGCTTCGCTGAGTTCCTGACTGCTGCTATGTCCTGCTTGGGGACAGTCTGCCTTCAACATGGCTCCAAGGGTTCATGACCCAAACCATCTATATGGGGATTCCGCAGATTGTCGAGGGTTCAGCCTCCTTATGAGTCGGTGCAACTCCGACAAAACAACCTATCACCATCCGCTTTTATTTTGTTTCGTTTTTTTCGATCTTTGCATCGTTTTGGGACTTGTATTTTTTTCCCCGGTTTTCCGGTTCGTTTGTTTGGTGTGCTTGCATTCCATCTGCCCTCCCGACTCCCCCATGTCCCCCAGCCTATTGTTTACCTCCTGGTCTTTGCATCTCTTTGGGACTTGCTTTTTTTGGTTTGCCTGTTTGGTCTGCTTGCATGATTGTCTGGACAGATGGTCATGGCAAGCCACGAATGTACAAGGGAGCTGCATGAGAAGTAGCATGGAAGCATACATCATCAGTTTGGTTACGGCCGAGCGCGGTGTGCCATATATCATGGGGTGCTTGACGTATAGCGCCATAAGTTGCTTTGGAAAGCACACACACACACACACACATGGGTGGTTTGTTATGATTTGTGGAGGGAATGAGAGAGAATTTTTTTTTTTTTTTTTTTTTTTTAACGCGCACACACACACACACACACACACACACACACACACAATCAGTTTTGTGTCTGTCAGTCTTTTTCCCGTTGTCTGTCCTCCCTTCGATTTTTTCTAACTATTTTCTTTGTGTGCCCAACTGAGCACCCTTAAGTAGTGCCAAACAGTCGTTGGTTCCTCGTTTGGAGTGCCAACTGCACTCTTAGGGGGCGCGTTCGGTTCGGGATGTCCGTGTTGCCTATGGGTGATGACAGATGCTCGTCGGAGTGTCTCCCTGGCTCAGTGGGTGGGGGGAACCAACAGTCCGTGGGGTTCAATCGTGATGTGAGTAGGTCATGTGCTGCTTTGCTCCGTGTTGGATGTGTGGACGGCCTCGTCTGCGCTCCGTGGCTGCCCTGCTGCCTGTTCCGCTTGCTTCGCATGTGGTTCTTTGCAGGTTGATGTGTTCGCTGTGTGGTGTGGCTGTGTGGTTGGTGTTGCCTTGCGCTTCGCTGCTCCGCTGCTTTGCTGCCCTTCCGCTGGCCGTGCCTTCCGTGTTTGCTGCTTGCGGGCCTTGTTGGTTGGTTGCCTTGTTGCGGGTGCCTTGTGCTTCGCTCCACGGTTGCCAAGTTGCTGGTCCGATCGCCCTGTCGTCCCTTGCAGCATGGTTGCCTTGCTTGTGTTGCTTCGTGCTCACTACACGGTTGCCGCGCTGCTTGTCCTGTGTGCCATGTCGTTCCTTGCAGTCGTTTTTGGCGTTGTGCAGCCGTGTTGCCTCTACTGTGTTGCCTGGTGCTCCACAGGGTTGCTGCCCGCTGCTATGTTCCGCTTGGGGACAGTCTGCCCTCAACAAGGGTCAAAGGGTTCATGACCCAAACCATCGAACACGGAGATTCCGCAGATTGTCGAGGGTTCAGCCTCCTGATGAGTCGGTGCAACTCCGACGAAACAATCTTGTCATCATCGCTTTTTTATTTTTTTCGGTCTTCGCTGTTTTGGGGGACTTTGTATATATATTTTTTCTGCTTTGCCTGCTTTCTGTGTTTGGGTGACGTCTGCCCTCCCGCCTCCCCCGTGCCCTCCACCCATTGTCCTTTGCTGCTGCATGTCGTCTTATGCTTGGGGTATCTTTCTGTACTTGCACTTTTCCTTTGTCTTTCCTTGTTTTGTGCATTTATGTATGGTCTGCCCTCCCACTTCCCCCATGCCCCCCAGCCCTTGTGCCTTTCTGCAGTTTGCTGTCGTTGCCTCCTTGCCTTTTGCCTTATTGTGCTTCCTTTCCCCATCCTATGGTGTCTGTTGATCGTGTGTGTTCCAGTTCGCCCGCAAAGAGCAGTGGGAGCATGAATGCTCGTGTACTCCGGCATAGTCATTCCCTGCCTTACAGTATAGGTTCTGTCTGCACCACGCCTACAAGTTCCTGTTCCTGAGCTTGCTCATGTAGTCTGGCATAGTCATTGCCCACCTCCGAGTTGCACCGATATATTATTTCGGATCTTGATTACGATGCGGTTTCTGTATCATACCGCAAACGCGTCATATTATGTGGGACACACACTTACACACACACACGCACAAGGTGGTCGGATGGACGCACCTGGCAACCGGGGGGATCGATCCCATGACCAGTTGTGGGAGAACAGACCTCAAAGAAACATCCCCGATCTTTTTCTTTTTTCTTTTTCGTTTTTGCTCCTGTTTGGTCCTTTTTTTTTTCGTGTTTTTCTTTGTTCACCTCTTGTCATGTCACGACCTCCTTCATTATCCTCACGCTCCTCCTCCGGTCTTATAGCACTATGAACACCAAACAATATCTGAAGGAACGTTGAAACAAGGTACGTTAGATCTCCTTAGCACCGCTCTTGAGAATTCACTTTCCAACAGGCCTCCACACTCTCCGTTTTCTCTCCCATCAAACGCTACTTCATCTGGCAAGACATCTAGGTTTAGCATGATGTACAGATGACAACATGAGAGATCTCACTCTCCCCTCACTGAAAACAGCAGCGGCGTACTCTCAAATGAACTCTTCCTTAAACTAAGTCCTCAAGGGGCATTCCTGATACAGTGCCAAACACACACTGGGCTGAAGGACTGAGTCTCCACGCCTCCTCTCCTATCTCAATAGAAGTCTTCCACATAACAGCCCCAATCTGGGCTGTAACCCTAAATGTCATAGCCAAGCGTCACCCTCCTTCAGCTGTCGCACCTCCATTGCCATAGAGGTCTTCTCCCTCCTCAGCGAGCTCCGCCTTTGCTGCTTGCCGTACGCTTACCCTCGACATGGGCAGCTCTGGGCTGTAACCCTAAATGTCATAGCCAAGTGGCACCCTCCTCCAGCTGTCTTCTCCCTCGTCAACAAGCTCCGCCTTTGCTGCTCACCGTACGCTCACCCTC